GAAGTGAGTCTCTCAGCATCCATAATTATTCTCTTTTCAATGCAAAAAAGCCAACAGAAATGTTCTTTCCTTCTTTCCTTCGTTAAAATTAATGTTAGACTTGAGGAAACCTCCGGACTAACAAGACAGTTAAGACCTGTGATTTTTTAAACCGTACTTTTTAACGTCACTTTTATCCTACGGAAGCCATTATGTGTGTGCTGTCTACCTCACTGTCTGCAAAAAAGCAATCATCTAGTGGCAATGACACAAGCAGCAATGGCCTGAAGGGACAAGGCTGTGTGATCCCAAACCGCACCCATTATCCATGAGAGAGAGAGAGAGAGAGAGAGAGAGAGAGGGAGAGAGAAAGAAGGAAGATAGAGAGAGATACGCTCTACACCAGTCACACATTGCCTTTTCCCATTTACTTGCCTGCGTGTGCTAGAGAATCAAGCCAGGCAAAAAATTGTGTGGAAAAAAAAGAACTAAAACAACCAAATCGACTACAAAGAGTCAAAATAAGTGAAATTAACACGACATCTTATGAGAGATTACAATTAAACACTATGTGAGGGTGAGCAGATTATGGAGCAATAAAGCAAGACAAATAAGAGAGAGACAAAGCCATGGAGAGGGATGAGTTTGTGAGGGTTAACAATAAGCAGTGTGGACATCAAAATCACAAAGTTCTGACCGCTTTTAAAGCTGATTCGGCAGTGCCTAATAATGAGCGTTCCTGGGGTTAAAGGTATATGTTAGCATTTTTCAACCTACAGTCTTTTACCATAGACAATCATTTTGGTGTATTTGCCTTTAAAGAACAGAGAATGTTTTGACTTAAGCATACTTGTAACTATAAGTGTGTTTTGTGTCCCTGGCTTTTCTCTTCTTTGATTATATACAGAAAAAAAACTTTTCCATTGTAATCCACTATTCAACAAATGTGGCAGATAGATCTTGAAAAATGCTGAATTATTCCTTTAATACTGGAGGGATGTTCCAGTGTTTCCCACATATAGACTATTCTGTTGTGCCCCCCCCACCCCCAAACATGTTGACAGCCAACCAAGCATAATATGCTCCATTTTGACAATTTCCAATTGCCATTTTGTCACATTTTAATAAATTCCAAAATATTTTATATTGTTATGTAAAAACAAGGCCACACTTTTAACAGCAGGAGACCATCAACAACACATGAACACAGCAGCTGCTCTTTATATTGTGTGGAAACCTCATGATGAATTGACCAATAGAAAGGCTCTAAAATGACCTGACTTAGGATATCTTTGCATTAACTTTCATTAAACGTTAAGAAAGTATTTGCCTTAGTATTATAATAGTTCCTGTTTTGGAGATATTTTTTTGGACAGCAAAAAAAATATCACAACGCCAACCCTCGCCCGGACGCTCCCCCAACAGACCTTTATGTAACACTGTATTCCTTTCTCTCATTGTCTACCTTATACTGTGTCAGATTCACTCTATGACCAGATATTGATCAAGGATCCATAGTTAAATAGTGAAAAGTACCACATCCTCTACAAGGAACAAACTAAAAAAAAATCTGTGTATTAAAATTAAAGTGTGTTCTCTGTAGAGGATGTGTACTTATTTTCACAAGAACCAACAAAATGTCATTTGACCAGGGGTGCCCAAACTTTTGCATATGACTGTTAGTAGGAATTTGTAGTAAACTGAAAAATAAGCAAGTCAGCAGGAACAAAGGAACCAAACCTATAGATAGGGCTGAAAAAAATAATTTAATAATAATTAATAATTGTATTAATTTCATTTAATTAGTATTTATTGCATATTTTATAATGAATTTGCAGTTTAAAAGAGCTGCAGTTTTAATTTTCAACCATGTTGTCTTAACAACTTTTAAGTGGGCAAATGTAACCTAACAATATGGAGCTTGAGAACAACCTGTAGATGTGGTTGACCATGTGCTGCATCAAAACCACACAACCACAACCACAGCTAACTGTCAGTCTGGAACACTATGTTCATGGTTCAAGCCTCAAGCCAGAAGAGATGGATCAGCTGGACTTCCTGGCTAAAAAAAGGCCTGGACTGAAAATGATCGCAATCACTATATTGGTCAGATAAATCGCAATTAAGAATTTTGCCCAGGTCGTGCAGCCCTACCTACAGATCTGCCACTTTTTGCTCATGCAAACGCACAGCATCAAACCTCATGATCTGCTGCAGCACACTATCTACATTACAGTGCTCTTAAGACAGTTCACTCAAGCAAACGTTTACAGAGCAACTAATTCACTCGTGATTCAAAACAAAACACACAACACGCTTTCAGAGCTGAGTGCTAATGGAAATGAGTGCTTTTATCAGAACCGTGCAAAAGCCTCGTCTAAAAAACTAAATCGGGCTCCATAAATGAAGAGACTAATAAACAAGCGTCTTCACCTCCCCCTAAATCAATGCAATTATGGTAAATACTTCACATGCAGTTATCCAGGAAAGACTGTGATAACTTGATCTTTAGGCTACTGAATTTAATTGAACTGAATAGGTAATGAAAGCTTTGCTCAGAAGGGATGCTAAATTCAATGTTATTCAAAGCATTCTGAAGACGTGCTGTCTCTGTAGTATAGAGCAGCAGCTTTGTGGTACAGAAGAGTCTATACTACAGCATGGAACTGTACTGTAGCTCCACCTATTGATACATCATCTTCAGTATAGAAAGCATATATATACACAGCCAGCTCAGACTGAAAAAGACATAGTAGCAGCTGCGATAAAATAACTGTAACATGATGAGATTTCCATAAGCAGAAAAAAAACGCAGTTACTACACAACACTGAATAAACGTCGCAAGCTTTTTGTCATATAAAATAGGCATGTAAATAAAATTTACAAGGCTTTATTTGATGCATTTCATATAATGATCAAGAACAATTATTAACGCTAGATTTGCCAGATTTAATCATATTTCTACCCCCATCTAAGTTAAATATGTTTTAACTAATCCAGCTGTCCACTTTGTGGTCAGCAAAGCTCAGAATATAAACTTCAACAACAGACTCTAGTACAGTATTTACAAATTGCTGCAGCAGTCACGTCAATTATTTACTCTACAAAAGCCCTTTAGGTCCAGGGCAAGTATCGCTCCCCTGCTAAACTGACTCGACAACAAGAAGTAAGTATTATGGACATGGCGTGAGACCAGGGGAGCGTATTGTACAAACACTCATGAATAAAACATGAGCCATTAGCTCAATTAAGACGGGAGCACAACAAGTGAAAGCCTGTCACCCCAGCAGACTGGGACTTAGGGATATCATTGAAATATTGCTGTGGTACCCTTATGATTTTCTTTATGTAGGCTATTTGCCTAAATCCCCCTGAAGGAGTGTTCCGCACCACTGGACAGTGCCTCTGTTTTGGATACTTGACTTTAATCTGTGTACTTGGCTAGATTATTTCTGTAACATTGAGGCAGAAATCAAGTGAAACAGACAGGCTGATGATGACTGGATCTAAATCACGCTGGGAAAAAATAAATGCACTGATGTTTTAAGAAGGTGACAGCGTCAAGCTCAGGGCGAGAAACCTCCGATTCCTCTGTTCCTCTCCTTTAGTGCACCTCAGTGTTCAGACCAAGCTCAAAGCAATGCATCTTTTCAGTTCAGTTCCAGGGAACATGCATTAATCTCCATAAACAAAAAATAATCTCAGGACGGTCTGATGTTCTGCTCAGCGCACTCCTCATTCCCTTCACATTTTGGAAACGGGCTCATGCAGCATAACAAAAATGAACGCTGTGGGTTTTTTAATTTAAGGAATCATATAAAGAAATGTACTCAGTTTTCCTACTTATGCCAAGTGTAGTTGATCAGCCAAGACATATTAGATGTCCAAAGCTTGCTTCTTTAGTGTTGCACTGAAGCTATGAGGCTATTCTGTTCAATAAGTAATTGAAAACAATGCAATCAAATATTTTTTTTGGGTAACACAGACTTCTGTTACTTAGTAGCTCCAGGACATAAACTGAATGATTTTTAACTAAAACATTAATTTTATTTGGTAAATAGGTTCATTAAAATGTTAATATGTTAATATGAAGCCTATAGTGCTGCTTTTGTGTTTTGGTTGGAAACTTGTTCAACTTTTAAAATAACAGATGCTCTAACAGTTCAATTCGTTCTGCCTGCCTATACCATTTCCTAATCGCATCAGAGAGAGAGAGAGAGAGAGAGAGAGAGAGAGAGAGAGAGAGAGAGAGAGAAAGCCTGCAGTGTTTCCAATTTAATCTTCCAATTTTAAAGAAGAGACAGCAGAGCACTGCTTCCTACACAGTGTGTATAAAAGGTGGCTTTTCCTGCCTGAAGAGGAAATGTGCGTTTACTCTGCACCATCGTACAGGATATAAAAATGCTTAAGTGTTTTTACTGCACGGTTATAACTCACAGAACATTCAGTATGGTGATTCAAAAAAGGGGGACATGACTGCTGGCAATTTCCTTGCTTTGACAGACAGCCTGATTACTCCATATATCCATGTACTGAATGGGTTATGTGGGCACAGACACACACCTAATGTTTTATTACTATAAATAATGAATAGACCTTAAGAGATGAAAGCCTACATATCCGTCTGCTCCCAAAATAGGCTCTGTTACTGCTTTTAACTGCTGTGCCTCATACCGCTCTCCATTTCACAGCACAGATATTGTGAATTGGTGTTTGCTTGTAAGTGTATTACTGGATAAAAAAAAAGATGCTGGACATTGATTTCTTACAGTTGGGTGGGCATATTTAGAAACCAGAAACCTCATGCAGGGCAAAAACAGCTCCATCTCCAAAGGCAGCCCAGCATGTATGTCCCAATGTTGCCTCAACTAACTGATCCCAGAGGTCACTGTCAAGTCCACAGGAGTGACCGTGGACTAAAAGGCATTTAGTTTCAAAGCATCCAACAGCATCACTGGAATACAACACGACAAAAAAGACAAAAGACGACTGCACCAGTTAAACAGAAACAGAGCCTTACCGTTTCAGGGTTAAAACTTCTCGCCTCTTCAGTTCTCTGCTCAGTTTATTGCTCCTTACAGCGCACAGCCAGTCAAACTGAATTCCATCATCCGGCGCTCTGATGAGTTGATGTGTGGCTGATCCTTCACTTTGCTCTTTATCTCCACTCGTTTTCAAAAAATAAATCGGTGTGCTGACGTCAAAAATGGCGCTATTTAATGGCTTTTTCTTTTTTATGACCGCTGCTGTGTGGACATTTTGTGGACGCGAAGGTCGCAGTCGTTTCAGTTCAACGAGCCGGTTAGTCCAAGTGCATCTAAGTGCCTCAGCACTCGCCAAGCCACACGCGTTATTTTTCCCCCACCCGTTTTCGGGAGAACACCGCCCTCGCGTGCGGGGATTGGCTAAGAACATGCCGCCACCTGCGCCATGATTGGCTTGTGGTTCTAAGAGTGATCTACTAACCAATCCCTGCGCTTGTGGGCGGGGCTTGTCCGAGTACGAGTGGGGAACCCAACAGAAACGTCCACATACAAAATAAATAAAAAAGAAGAAAGACAGAGAGAGAGGGAGAGAGATTTTTGTGTTCGTCGTCGTGTCTTCTTTTTAAATGAACGAAAGCGGAGAAGAAAAAAATGGAATTACGAAAAAAATATATCAAAGAATATCAGTAACTTGAACACATACTTAATTAGAATAGGGCATAAAGTTTTTTTTTAATAATCGAAATGAACAAAACGTGTTGTTTCTTGTAAAGACATGCAGGCTTTCAGTGACTGTAATGGCAAATATCGATTTAAAAGATGGAAGAAAACGTCTATAATTGATACAGTTTTAATAATGCAGTCTGTAAATGTTCTGAACATCTTAATAAGGTTGTGGAGTCTACAAGGATTTCAACATAAAAGACTCCTGAGATCATTTTTCCTTTGTTGTTTTTCTTTCGGTCCGCAGCATTTTGTTAGCTAATGTGTTAATTGGTGCATTATTACAAGAGTTTCCCTGGATTTTTCCCTCAGTACATTACAGCTGGTCGTGGTATGCCCTGCTAGAAAAAGCAGCATAGACCAGCATGGCTGGTCCCCAGCAAAACCAGCACAAATTGTGTTTTGGATGCTGGTATGCTGGTCATTCAGCATGACCATCCTGGGTGACTAGCTAAACAAGCATAAACCAGCTTAGAGCAGCGTGGTCCGTGCTGGTCTGTGCTATTTTTTTTCAGCAGGGTGGGGTGGTATGCGTTTCTTTATGAGATGTGTTGCCCACAGGTTTAAAATGAAATCCTACTAGACTGAATACCGTGTGCCATCAACAAGCATTTTCGGTCACTCAGTCTGATGCTCTTGAGTGTGATAAGAAGGATGGTTAAAGGCTCCTTTTTAGCTCAAGGAACTGGAAAATTGATGTCAAAGTGTGAATGGACAGTCAGAGATTATCCAAGGAGAGGTTAAGCCCCAATCCTGCCATGAATCTGTTCAGGAAAACATGTATCTGTGCTGTCAGTGTGCTTAAAAGTAGGATTAAACCTGCCTGACTCTTTTATACATATATATATATATATATATATATATATATATATAGATAGATAGATAGATAGATAGATAGATAGGCGGGGGATAGTTCTGGTCGTAAAATCTGATTGGCTGAGTCACGTTTGAAGCCGTTGTAAAATACACGATATACAGACACACCTATGACCACCTCACAGCAACTGAACTCTGTATCACTGCGCCACAGCACAATAAAAATGTTGTGTTGTTAATTGATAATCTTTGACTCTAATGCTGTTCACATGGACCACTGAGTACATTGACGAAGTGAGAACCCGTTTTTTTTGTTTAAACTGAGGGGTTTGCAACTTATTTCCTTAACTAGAACTAGGTTGGTCAGCTAGCTAACAGGCTAAAAGATAGCTAGCTAGCTAACAGACTAAACATATATGATATATGATTAACTGTAAAACTGCGATATAAAAGTTTAAAGAATGTCACTTGAATGGCTTATAGGCTTCAAATGTTCATGTTTCAGTCAGAAGTAGATTCAAAGCCAGGCTGTGTGTGAGTTTGGATGTGAGTATGGATGTGGCTGAATATTATTTAGCTATTTTATGCACTGTTAGGGTGCAGAATCCATTATTTAAATTCCTACCTAATGCACTACATAGGAAGCAGGGAGCCACGCAGCGCGTTACAGCCGTCCTACCTGTTTTTAGTGACTTTATAACTTCGGTTTTGGTCTCGTTGTAGAGAAGGGGTCGCTGGGTCAGAAAAATATCTTCGAGACGTGACGTGTGCAAAAGCCCTGTTTCGCAACGACTGAGAATTGGCGTGCCGACTGCAGGTCATCTAGCAACGATGCGTTATTCGCATTTCTAAGCAGCGTAGTTGTTTTCCTGGCAAGTTAAGCCTGCAAACGAGAGATTGTCAAACAGTAAAAAATCGCAAAGATGAAGTCGCTTCTCTTCCGAATTTTGTTGTTCCATCTTGAATGGTGCCGCATTTACATTCGGCGCCTCAGTCAGAATTTAAGGTGGAACGGGGAAATTCGAACAAGAAGCTGGAGAATGAGAAGCGACTTCAGCCTCGTAAAACAGCCGAATGTTGAGAGACATTCTACAAGAAACTGATCTAGTTTTGAGGAAAAGTTTTCTGGCGGAAATGAGAGGAAAGCGGCTATAGCTAAAGCTTAAAGCAGAGCAAAGTAAATCTGCGCTCTCGTTTATATTGTTTAGCCTATACTAGCACATACTGACACATACTGGACATTAAATGTTTGATTTTTGTTGAAAGGTCAAAATGGCTCTTCTTATCATTTGGGTTGTGACTCCTGACCTAACCTGGCTTTTAATGCAGAGGGTGCCTGTCGGATTTCTCACTCATCCAGTAGTGTTTTTGTTGCGTGCCGTCACAGAGTGTCCGGGCGCTACACTTATCCACTTCCAAGTTCCGCCTTTTGCGTTCCGTCAACATTACTGTTATAAATTAAAAATTTAGAAAATTGATTTTTGACATTTGTGAATCGATTCAGAATCATTCACGTCCGCATCACGATGCATCTAAGAATCTATTTTTTCCCACACCCCTAGTGCTAAATAAGACTTGCAGTGGTAACTTGATGAACAAAAAGTATTTATAAAGCGAAGGTTTTTGCATTAAAAAGTGCTATGTTATCATATATTCATTGTTATACGATGGAAAATGACCACAATACAATTGATGGGCGATCAAACTTTCTTCTCCTAATTCAACGGTCCATTATTACTTGGCAACAAACCATACTCTAAAGGAACGACATTTCTTGAGGAATACTTGTTTATGTCGATTGTTTTTAATAGTAAATTATTTTTTTTAAAAATTGTGTGTTTTATCATATTTTATGTTAGCCGCTGTTTTATAAAAGCAATAAGCCACTTGAGGGCGTGCGTTACTGCGATTTTATCACAGGGAAGGAAGTTTTTTAAGAACACCATTACCCGTGATAAAATCGCAGTAAAGCATGGCCTCAAGTGGCTTATTGCTTTAATATATGAGACTCAATGCATCAAGCACACAGTTATAGAAAACAAAGAAAGAAATTTATTGAAACATGTACACCAATGTTATATTTGAAAATACACTTTAAATCAAACCTTAAATCATTCATATATGATGATAAAGTACATTTGGGCAGATGATAATTGCCTGCAGAATTATAAGGGTATCATTGTGATCCAAATTCAGTTGTGAACAATCACTCTCAGCATTACAGAGCCTTGACCTATAGCTTGCATATTCCCTGACTGTGATATAATTACCATGTAATTACCAACTGGGCAAGCTTCTAATATTACGTAATCATTTATAATGCTATAAACTATATTCTGCACAGATGGCATGCAACACGGTTAACATTCAGGGATTCTCCTCATTTATTTGGATGGAAACCAGATTATTTCCAAACTGGTGCGTGGGCACTGTTCTTCTAGACAAGCTCATCCATTTTACTCTGTACTGGAGAGTGGATCTCATGTACCGGAGTTTCTTTGTTTTCTTTTGCATTCATTGCCAAACTGAAACTCTACCTTATAATCTTTTCAAATGCCGCTCAAAATGTATGCAATATAGACAAAAGTACTGAGACACACCTCTTAATTATTGAGTTCAGGTGTTTCAGCCACACCCAGTGATAACAGGTGGATAAAATTAAGCACATAACCTCGCAGTCTCAACTGACAGTAGAATGGGTCATACTGCAGAGCTCAGTGATGCGGTAGGCCACGCAAACTCAAAGAGTGAGGCCAGCGAGGGTTGAAGCGCACAGTGCCTATCCTCTGTTTCCATGGCCAACCTGCTACACACAAGCCTAATATCAAAATGCACAATGCCAAACGGAGGGGGAGGAGGCAGTGGTGGGGGTGGTGGAGTGGTGTAAAGCATGCCACCACTGGATTCTGGAGCAGTGGAAACATGTTCTGTGGAGTGACAAATCACGCTTCTCTACCTAGCAGTCTAATGGACGAGTCTGGGTTTTGGCGAATGCCAGAACAATGTTTCCTGCCTAACTGCACTGTGCCAACTGCAAAGTTTGGTGGAGGAGGGATAATGCTATGAGTTTGGTTTTCAAGAGTTGGACTAGACCCCTTAGTTCCAGTGACGGGAAATCTTAATGCTTCAGCCGACCAAGACATTTTGGACAATTGAATGCTTCCAACTTTGTGGAAACAGTTTGGGGAAGGTCGTTTTCAGTTCCAGCATGACGGAAGAGTGGAAGCTGTTATAGCTGCAAAGAGGGGACCAACTCCATATTAATGCTTCTGGATTTAGAATGGCATGACAGAAAAGCTCCCGTGGGTCTAATTTGTAGGTTTTCCCAATACTTTTGTCCATATAGCGTATGTAGCTAATTAGTTAGTGATGATCTGTTTGTAGCCTATAATTAAGTAAAATCTTTTCTGTTGGAGACATGCTTGAACTTACCATAAATTAAGTATGACTGTACAAAGGTATTTGATCATTTAATTTATCGGCACAGGGCTAGTGACTTTACCAAGGCAATATTGCCAAAAGTTGCATTGTGCTAGATTTCTGTAAATGTTTTTGTTCTGTTACATCATATGACTGTGAAGATGCATTCAGGGAGCAAATGTGTTTGCATCCAAAGCCTTTTTAGGGTTTAAAAAAAGTATAGATATAGAATGGTTGCATCTCACAGGATTGTTTGATTTAGTGGCAACGCACAAACACTGTATTGTCTCTGAAGAACAGGTTAATTTCCTGTCATCAGAACAATGAGATTCAGATGTGCTGTAACCATGACTCTCACAAAA